GAGAGAGAGAGAGAGAGAGAGAGAGAGGATTCACCCTGTTTTGCCCCAACTTCTGTGACTGGCTGCAAGAAAGGAAAGCGAAAGTCAGAGAGGCTGAGCAAACAGTTTATTGCTCTCAGACAGCAGCTGAGACGGAGCCCCTAGGGTGGGGTCCACAGCTACTGCCAACCCAATAATGGGGAAGGGTCTCTTATATGGATTCTAAACTCAGATTCCAAAGGGGTGACCCATCGCTGTGTCCTTGAAGTAAGGCCCAGTTCGCTGTCACCTTCAGCTAGTCCCATCCAGGATCTCAAGGTCAGTTTTATTACCACTTTATCAAGCTTGGATGCAAGGCAAAATTCTTTACCGCCCTAATTCAGTTCTTGTTAGTAATTCTTTGGTCACTCCCAACACACCAGAGGCAGTGGGGAGCAGAACAGGCAGATCCACAGAAACACACTGCTGAGGGGAGGAAGGGGTGAGATAGGTCTTCTGTGCCTTGTGGGTCAGCTCTCTGGAAGGATGGAAATCCTGCTGCAATGGCTGCAGATAGCTTCTTAGTGGTGCGGTTTAACCCCTTGGCTACCAGGGAAACCCCCAGGAATCATTTTGAAGGTTTTCTAATTTGACCCAAGAATGTCACTTTAAAAAAAAAAAGTACTTTCAGGCTTCTTTGGTGGCACAGAGGTCAAATCTCAGTGATATGAAGCTAGCCACAGTGAGTTCTATCCCCGCCAGAGAGCTGACCCACAAGGTGCAGCAGACCTCTCCTCTTTCACCTACTGCTCCCCTCAGAGTGTATTTCGGGAGATCCACGTGTTCTGTTCCCTACTCTATCTCTGGTGTATTTCTCAATACCGGTACCTCTGACCTGTATCTCCGTTTTTGGATGCACAGATAAGCAAAAACTTAAAATACTATTTCCGGTTGAATCAGTGACCCACTTTTTCTACTTGGGAGAACAAGGAGGAAAAAACATTTCCGTTTTTCAATTTGGGTCTAGTATTTGGGTGTGTGCAAACTGACTGACAAGATACAAATTAACAGAATAAAAGATATGATTAATTTACTTGTTTGTGATAAGGGGACCTTCCAGTGATGGAAATTTCCAAAACTGCCCCGAGGTAGCTATGTATCTCAATTTGAAAGGAAGGTTTCAAGGGCTTCCTGGAGAGAGAGGAAGGTTCGGTTGCGCTTTTTGATGCTAATGAATTGCGCCGTTAGTTTCGTTGAGCTGCAGAATTAGCTGGAAATGCCCTGGGAAGGAGGGTGGGAAGGTGGAAAGGTTTCCGTCCTTTGACGTGAACCTGCTGTGGTCAGATTAAGAGAAATGCCTCTGAAATTCCTTCGGTCTAGCGCAAAAGTTTTCACGTTAAAATACTCTTTATGCTAGCTCGGGTGGGGGAAGGTGTCCAAGTGGGTCCCCACAAAGGGGAGAGGTCTTGTCTACATCTCGAAAGAGAGCGCGCTATCGAAAATCTTGAACTCGTGGGTCTGTGATTGTTTCCTCGCGGGGTTCAGGCGCCGTCAGCGGCATCGCACCGCTGCGAGCGATCTTAGGCAGGCCAAGAATGTGTCAAAAGTGGTTCTTCAAAAGGCTGGCCACAAGGCAAAAATGACGCAGAGAATTCGTCGCAGTGCTTGAAGAGGACGTGGTGCTGTGGGCGAAAGCACACCGGCTCTGGGCCACCTCGTGTAGCCTCCCGGCTGCAGCCGGATACCTGAGCGCACCCAAGTTATTTCCTCGAGCCCTGGGAGGGTGATAGCCAGCCGTGAAGTCTGGCGCTGCAGTAAAGAACGCGAAGGCGGAGACGCGGCACTCCGCTCCAGCCTGGCTCAGTCGGCGCAGTTCTTTCCGGGATGGGTGGGGTGGACACAGATGACGTCTCCAGGGGGTTCCCCGATTCGCAGCATTAAAAACCCATGGGAGCCCGGAGATCATTTTTACTTTCTCTTCTTTCCGAGGAAGCCTCCCTTGCCCAGCGCTCAGTCCTCTCGGAGTCCAGAACGCATTAGGATCCTACCCAGTGGTCACGGCGCTCCCGGGCACCGCTGGGCGCTCGCTCGCTGTCTAGCCGTCGGGCTGCGGTGGCATTGTGCAGACTTTCAACCCGACCCTGTGACGGGGCTGGTGAGATCTGGTTTCGGGACCGAAAGCCGACAGGGAAACCGAAAGTCCAGGGCTCAGCTAACCCCGGCAGAAAGCGCGCGCTCGCTCCTGGCCCCGGGCGCGCCCCGCCCCGCCCGCCGCCAGCCCAGCCCGACCGCGTTAAGTTTCGATTCTCCGCGTCCGACAGTCCCGCGCGCGGCCAGGCCAGAGCGACGCGCCATGGCCGACCCGGAGGTGTGCTGCTATATCACCAAAATCCTGTGCGCCCATGGGGGCCGCATGGCCCTGGACGAGCTGCTCGACGAGATCGCGCTCCCCGAGAAGCAACTTCGCGAGGTGCTGGAGGCGGCGGGGCCCCACCGCTTCGTGATGCTGGAGACCGGCGGCAAGGCCGGGGTCACCCGCTCGGTGGTGGCCAACACTCGCGTGCGGGTCTGCCGTCGGAAGGTCTGCCAGACGGCCTGCGACAACCTGCACCTCTGCAAGCTCAACCTGCTGGGCCGGTGCCACTATTCGGAACGGTGAGTGCCTGGGAAGGGCAGGGCTGCGCCGGGGTCCGGGCTGAGACGACGTCTGCTGCTGCCGCCAGCGGGGCCGCCCGCGCCGGACCTCAAGCCCGATAGCCCCCCGTCGTCGCGGCCTCTCTGCACCCGGCTCCCCGGGGCGCCCCTCGCCGCCTCGCGCTCCTCGCGCTTCCACTCTGTGGGTTCTCCGCGGCGCCTCCAGCCGCTGCGCCCACTGAGGCTTAGGTGGGACCCGCGGGCGAGGCTCAGCGGAGCGCCCCTCCTCCCTCCGCTTCCGAACCGAGAACTTTCGCCCCGGGCCTAGGGAAGTTGAAGCAGGTTTGGGAACGAAGGACGCGGCCTCCAGGGGAGCCTGGAGTCCTGAGGCTGCTGTGTCAGTCCCTGGCGTGTCCTGGCCGCGCTCCGCAGGCGTCTTGACCGCTGCGCGCTGCGGGCCTTGCGGGGCCTTGCGGGGCCTTGCCCGGCCTTGGCCTCCTCGCCGCCGCCATTCCTTCGGGTCGCTTCGCTCATACCTCCCCGCCCTCCACCACCTGAGCCGAGTGGACCTCTTGGAGGTTACCAACGGTGTCGTGACCCCTTCCAGCGCTTTCCCCACCGTCTCTCCTCATGGCCCGCACCACGGACCGCACACTCTTGACTCTGTTTTTAAAAATTGATTCGAAACGAACGGTGTGGCTTACCTTTCGGGCAACCTGTTCTTTCTTTGCCCTCTAGATAAAAGGCTGTTGCAAGGCTTGGTGAAGCCTTTGGAACTAGGGGATTTGCAATCTGCCTCAGATCGCTGTCTAGATCGCGGAGCTCTCCCGGGTTCAGTTATCACGTCGACAAAGATGGCTGCTCAGGTCTTCCACTGAGTTCAGAAAGGGTCTTCTGTCTGAGCTACCTCTACCTGAATATCCCGCCAATACTGTCAAATTCATCGTTTTCCCAGCTCAGGGTCTCTGACGCGCCCCATCCCACCTTCCCCCGTCAAATCTAATGGCCAAATCTTTTCATGAAATCTCCCACCCCCACGACGGGTTCCTCCTTCCTCATCGCGCTTCTCAACGAATGCCTTGTGGAATTACTGATTTTTCTCTTCAATCTCAAGTGTTTTCTGCTCTTTCGCACTTCAGCTCCATTATTGTTGATGATATAATGCTTTTCACACTTGACCCCGCCTTAAAAACTGGAAATGATGATCTAGGGTCTTAAATGGTGGTCATCACACTTTCCATCACGTTCGAGAACGTTCGATTCCTCCCTCCCCTGAATGTGTAATAAAAAACCCGCAAGGCAGATGTTTCAGATGGATGAGGTAGATGAAGTCATTCTTTCAAAATATGTTTAGAGCTAAACAAACAAACAAACAAAAGGGTTTGGGAGAAATAATGATATTCTCCATTACTAAGAAAAACATTTAATTGAATGGGTTGTGAAGCAAAAATTGGGAAGTGTTTCTGAGTTGTAGGAAACGCGCATTGAAAAGGAGTCCTCTCCGTCACAGCAACAGGAAAACCAGAAGAGGAGGAAGGTGACTGAGGAGAAGGAACAAGAAGAATGTTCTAGCACTATGCTGACTAACAGCAGAAATGCTTTATTTTCTTTTTTCTCCCCTCTTCTGTTAAGAAAAATTCAACTAGTATTGGCTTTTTTTTTTTAAGATTTATTTATTTATGTTTACAGAACTGGGGTACTGGCCAGAGGTGTGGTGGATGAGAAGATTCACCAGAGACAGAGTGGGGAGCAGAACAGGCAGATGTACTGAGATACACTGCTGAGGGGAGCAGTGGGTGGGCCTGGAGAGGTCTGCCATGCCATGTGGGTCAGCTCCTTGGCAGGGGGTTGAACTCCTGCTCCAGTGGCTGCCAATAGCTTCATAGTGCTGGGTTTGAACCCCTTGAGCCACCAGGGAGGGTCCAGCTTTTACTTTTATTTTTACTTAAAATTTAATTAATTAATTTATTTTTGTGCAGAAGACTTGGGGTGTAGACAAGAGGTGTGGGGGTGAGAGAATTCACCAGAGACAATGGGGAGCAGAACAGGTGGATTTTCTGAATTATACTGCTGAGGGGAGCAGTCAGTGAGATTGACTCAGGCAGTAGAGGTGATAGTGCTGAGATTTAGCCTCTAGACCACCAGGGGGGTCCAGTTTTAAATAAATAAGTTTCTTGAGGATCAGTTGTGTGCTGGTGGATAAAAACTGGACTTTTGGTGGTGGGGATTATAATATACTACACAGAAATATCAAATTATAATGCTGTACACCTGAAACCTGTATAATATCAAGAACCTGTCACTTCAAAAATAATGAAAAATACATGTGCCCCTTTAAACTTTGCCTTTTAATATTTTTAGCAGAAAAGAGAAGTACCCATTATTCCATTTGAATAGTTTTGAAAACACGGCCAATCTTGTTTCTTTTATTCTCCTATCCCATCCCAGCCCCTAGCTTCCTCCATCTGTATTACTTTAACCCAAATCCCAGAGATCCTTTGCTTTGGAAATATTTAGTAATGCTAAAAGGTAGGACTTTATTTTATTAACAAATCCACCATACGACGATTATGGTATAGATATATATTTGCAATAACAGTTTTAGTCTTATCTAATATCCTTTTGGTATTAAAAAGGTTAAAATTTCTGATTTGTGTTTCAATCTGAATTGTACTTTTAGCAAAGACATACACAGATATAATTTATAAAATGTTCAATAAATTACATAGTAACATATTTAGAAACTTCGTTTGTTACACAAAATAAGTAAAACTTTGATTTTTTTTTTTGTGAAAATATTTTTGTTGTGAAATTTTTTGGCCAGGTGTGAAACATCAAAACAATTTTAAACTCATAAATTGGGTGGTTGGCCTGTAAAAGAATAAGATTGGGATAGTTTGAGCTACACCAGTTTGATGGATTCTCTGGGGAATTTGTTAAAGTTTTTTTTTTTTTTTTTTTTTTTTTC